ACTCGAGGTGAGGCCTCACCAGTGCTGAGTACCGGGGCAGGATTACAAACCCCTCCTTTCTTTTGTATTAGATTACAATTCCCTAAAGAGAGGAACAGATTTGCCTGAAATGTGAAGGCTGCACAGCGCAAGACTGAGCTAGAAAATGTTCTCATGAACTTGTAATTATTCGTGAGGTCCCTGCAGCAGCCCAGTCTCTCCAGGAAACCTCCAGTTTCATGCTGGGCTTCAGTCTGGTTGTGCTACAGTCCTCGCGGTCGTGATCCCAGAATAAACAAACATGCAACAGCCAGAAGCTCCAGAACAGCCCTTTCATGGGTCACTGGGCATTGGGACAAAAGCACTGACTGCACCTCGAGGCATTCGGACTGCAAAAATGAGAGTTGTAACATCAGTCCTTAGCACTGAGAAGGCTTTGCAGACTGAAGTGTCACAGCAGCTCCCGAGGCAAAGCAAGTAAATAGACACATATAGATCTGTGGAAGGAAGGAGCGGGCTGTGTGCTCAGCTGGGGAAGGCTGGGAAAGTGCAGCTTCTGATCTCTACAGCCCAGAGAGCCATTCCTGAGCTGCATTCTGAGACAGACGCAGAGTTGCCAGGCCCAGTGTTACTCAGGGGAATGGAAATGGTGAGATAGATGGCAATGGGATGATGCAAGCTTCAGTGTCCCTGTCAGAATGGGAGACCAATATGGTGTCTGGGCTGTTTCCTTGGAGTTTGAAGTCAGATGAAAACGACATTCCATGAAAACGACACATTTAGCTAAGGGGAAAAAAATATGAAGAGAACCTCTCTTCATTTCTTGTCCTATGCTTCTCTGAAGGGTTATTTTGGGCCCTGAATGAGGACTTAGAGGCAAGCATGAATAAAAAGAGAGAAAGAACGACACTGTGCAGAGATAAGAAGCACAAATATGAAAGTTTTGCAGTTCCTAAATCACAAAATGGGTTTGTAAAACACTTAAGGAAGATTTCAGCACTAGAAATAACAGCATTGTGCCTTCCTAATCTCTCGAAGGTTAATAGCTTAGGAAAGAACAGTTAGGAAAACAATGAAGCAGAGCAAGAGTAGGTCAGACCTGGAAGAAGAAAATGAAGAAAACTCAAGCCTGTAGGGAAACATTTTGAATGTTTTAATTCTAAAGTCAGCTTAGAGATTATCTTTACAGGATTAAAATCTCTGACTTTGTTGTAATAAATGAATTTAAACAGAACTTGCTCAAGCGAGGATGGTTTCCTATCTGTCATTACAAATAAAAGTGATATCAGATGTTTAGCAGTAGCTCAGTATCTACTGCTACAGCTGGATAACACTTCTTTCCCAGCATGCTCTGTAATGAGAAAATAACCAAAAACAAATGGTTTTTGTCTGAGGATTTGCATAATTGTAAAACGAAGTGCAAAGAAATGCCCATGCTAGAAAGCTGTTGCAAATACTCATATGCTTATTGCACCTAAGATACACTGTGTGAAAAGAAGGAAGGGAGAAGACACTTGGTAATAGGAGGCTATGCATAAAGCAAAGGCTGAGTGAGAAGCAGTGCATGGATTTTGAAGCTGGGCATGTTCAGGATGGAAATAAAATGCCAATCTTCACAGCCAATGTGAAATAATTTTGTGGGTTGTCTGAGCTGGAACAGGCTGCCCAGGGAGGTGGTGGAGTCTCCTGCTCTGGAGATGTTCAAGACCTGCCTGGATGCCGACCTGTGCAACCTGGTGTAGGGAACCTGCTTTGGCAGGGGGTTGGACTCGATGAGCTCTGGAGGTCCCTTCCAACCCCTACAATTCTGTGATTCTGTGATTCACAATTTGATAACCCTGTTCACAGGAATATTATGAGATACCTTTTCTTTTTTCCCCTAAAATGATATTGATTTGTGCCATAATGCCCTGTGAAATAACACATTAGCCACTTGGTCAAAAATCACTAGGTAGGCAGAAATAGAAAAGGTGATATTAATAAATTTCGAGGCAGCACAGACACTGATGACCAGGAAAAAAAAAAAAAAAAAAAAAAAAAAAAAAGCAGAGATCATTAAGTAGGATGACAGATATTGGTAATTTAGGGCAAGAAACATGTTGGATGTGAGATAGAAATCTACATACCTGAAGTAAGGCAGCCTTCCAAGTCGGTACAGCAGTACTGATATTGTGGGAGCATCAGAATGGCAGCATTTCAGATCAGATGTCCTTTCTTTTTTGCTTTCTGCCGGGCTTTTTAATTTCTCCTTTCCTTTGTTTTCATTTCCTCGTTTGCAAAGTGCTGAGGCTTCTGTGACTTAGCTCTCGGCGCTGCTGCCTGGCATTGCAAGAACCGGCTGCTTCGACCACACAGGAATTGACAGAAGAGGGTGCTGCAGCATTGCAAAATGGAATAAGGAGAGGCATACAGCTCTGCGAGTCCTGAGCATCGATTTCTGAGGAGCAGATTGCAAAGAGACAGTTGGTTTCAGTTCTGTGTTGTGACTGTGGTTCAGCTGCCATGCCGTACCCTGAGGTCCCATCCTGGAAGGGCTGCGGGGTCTGGGGCTGAGCTGGAAAAGCAGTGATGTTGGAGTTCCAGTAGGAACTGACCGTGTGCCCACTTGATGGAGAAATCATCAACATGGAAGCTTGGGGAAAAAGGGCAAGATGTATATGCCACACACTCCTTGCCATTAAGTCTATGAGTAATTTGTCTTATCTTCATTTGTACTTTCTGTAGAGTGAATTGTGTAGAGTGAATTTAATCTTGATTAAATCGGTCTTGTGCTTCATGTTTTACAGTGGTAATTAAGGTAACACACGCTAAATCTAGTCAGGAAACAACACACATCAGCTCTGTCCTCCAAAATAAAGGGATCCTGTCCTCCCAGCTCCTCTTATGTATTCAGCTGGATTCTCTCTTGGCTCTCTTGAATCTGAACTCACAATGAGCTCCAGTTTCTTGAAAGAAAGAGGGAAGGGAAGGGAAGGGAAGGGAAGGGAAGGGAAGGGAAGGGAAGGGAAGGGAAGGGAAGGGAAGGGAAGGGAAGGGAAGAGAAATAATCTTCACAGCTCTCAGCTCCCTCCTGTGAACTTTTAGGAACAGACTTTGCTGGATCCAGATGTTGAGGAGCCTAAAATTCCTGCCCAGAGCTCTATGAGAAATTGTGGAATTCAAAATGAAAGTTTATGAAAGATGATCTTTTGAACTGCTTTGAGGAAGGAGATTCACTCTGTGCTTCTTCCTATGAGAATTTGGGGGTGAAGAGGCTGGGTGAGGGGAGTGGGTCCAATCCTGAAGCTCACAAGCATTTTCTGCATGGGGAGTGCGGCCCATTTGCCATACAAGGCCTCCAGGAACAGCGTTTAGAGAAGAACATTGAATAAGCAGTTAAATAATCGTTTCTGAAACATTTTTGAGAAGAATTGCAAAAGGCTGCACTCTGCTCCTAAACTATTTGGGAAAACAAGCATGAAAATTAGTTGAGAAGCCCAATGTATGACTTGTTAAAAAAAACTATTTTTCCCTCACGAGACAGTGCAGAACTGTTCCTTCTTTTAGATTTTTTCTTACATTTTCAAAGATGAGGAGATGATGAGCTGCCATTATTTTGTCTCTTCAAATGGATTCCTAGGCGACAATTTAGAAGGGGTGCAATGGGCCCTTTAGGTCAGTGCCCAGAAAGCAGCTTGAAAGTTCCCTTAAAGCAACAACAGAAGATATTTCATTGCTAATGGAGCAAGAGATGCTTCATAAAGATGAGCAGTTGCAATGAAAATAAACCGTTCGGGGTGGTTTAAACAAACAAACAAAGCAAAACAAAACCTGGCAGGCTTTTTTATAGCAGCAGAAAACAAAGTGGGCAAAAACAGAAACCACCCCCCAACGTCCTTTGGGATAATTGGATCCAAGGTTAGTGTAATTGCACTTAAAACAACAAAACCCAAGCATCTTTCTTATGCTTTTTTGCACTGTTTCCTTGTATACCTTGAGAGAAACTGACTCTGAAACACAAAAGTGGACGAGTACAACTCTGCCATTACTTCAGTACAGCACAAAGCAGGAAATGACTGCTTTATTCGTTGAGCACTGTCAGGAAATGCCCAACATAGAAACCGCACTTCTAAGACACTGTGCCTTCCATCAAAGGGCTGCAGGCAGCTTCAAAGCAACTTCCTAAGCTGTAGAAAACAGTCAGAGAGGGAGGTGCTATGGGTTGGGGAACAGTGAGCATTTCTGGTTGAATTGTGAGGAGAAAAGTGGAAGTGTGAGTGAGTGGAAAATAAGCTTGAAGGGGCCGCAGTTGATGAGTGTGAGGGCAAAACATAGAATGACAGAATCACAGAACGGACAGGGTTGGAAGGGACCTCGAGGATCACAAAGCTCCAGCCCCCTGCCACACACAGGGCCACCAACCTCCCCATTTCATACCAAGCCCAGGCTGCCCAGGGCCCCATCCAACCTGGCCTTGAACACCTCCAGGGATGCACGGGGCATCACAGCCTCTCTGGGCAGCTGTTCCACCACCTCACCACTCTCATAGCAAAGAACTTCCCCTGGCATCCAACCTCAATCTTCTCTCCCTCAACTTCAAACCATTTCCCCTCGTCCTGCTGTTATCTCCCCTTTCCAAGAGTTGATTCCCCTCCTGTTTGTAGGCTCCCTTTAGGTACTGCAGGCTGCAATGAGGTCACCCCGCAGCCTTCTTTTCTCCAGGCTGAACAAGCCCAGCTCCCTTAACCTGTCTTTTTGGGGAGGTGCTGCAGCCCCCTGATCATCTCTGTGGCTCCTCTGGACCCTCTCCAACAGCTCCCTGTCTTTCTTGTATTGGGGGCTCCAGTCGTGGACGCAGCACTGCAGATGGGGCCTCACAAGAGCAGAGTTCCTTAGAGCCCAAGCTACGCTTGGCTTCATCCCATGGCCGCGCGGGGGCGGCCCCGGCCCGCAGGGAGCGGATTGCGCTGCGCCCCGCACCTGCCGCCCCGCCCCGCCCGCTGCCCGCCCCGCGGAGGCGCTGCCGAGTCGGGCCGGGCCGCCTGGGGAGCGGAGCCGCCGCCGGAGCTGCGTCCGCTATGGGGACGGAGTACGCGCGGATGCGCTGCATCAAAATCTTGCTGTTCATCTTCAATCTGAGCTTCTGGGTGAGCGCCGGGCTGCGGGCGGAGTGGGAAGGGCGGAACAGCGGCACCTGCGGGACGCGGGCTGGGCGGGGGGCTGCGGAGGGCACGGCCGGATCAGCGACCCCGGCTGCGGCGTGCTGCCGGACACCGGCCGTCCCGTCGCCCTGCCGTAGCCCGTAGGGCTGTCCTGCATCGCAGGAGGAGGTCCGCGAGTCCCCCTGTGCGGTGGGCTGAGTTTACACCGAGAGAGCGGCGTGCTTCTGCTCTGCCGTTTCGTGAAGATGCGTCTCGTCCTGGGAAAACTTGATGGAGGAGAGCATTGCTGAGAAGAGATAACATCTTGTTTTCAATGGTAACTTGAAATAGCGACCATCTCCACAGCAAACATAACTTTGCAAACTGCAGAGGCCGTGTGAGATTCTCCCAGCATCCCCTGCAGCTTCTTGCAGTGCTTATCCACAGTACGAGGAGCTACGAGATCTGGTTTAGTGGCTTGTGGTAGCAATGGTAATGGGAGGACGGTTGGACTAGATGATCTTGTAGGTCCTTTCCAACCTTGTGATTCTATGATTCTGAATCTATGATGCTTTCTCATGATATCCTTTCAAATGGCGAAGAATAGCACTCACTGCAACACCCTGAAGAGATCAGGGAATGCCTTTCTCCTATCGTAACAGATTTTCTCTATGCTCACAGTTTCATAGCACAATTTATTTCAAGTTATCTTTTCTCCCCATGTTGCATTTTCTCTTCCCATAGTTTTCCAGTTTCACATTTAGAAACAAAGCTTTTTAAAGCATCTTTTTCTTGCTTTCTGATTTGCTGGGGAGAAAAAAAGGTCACATAATAATCCTGTTCAGCCTCTCTGGAGCAACCAGCTTTGAGATTTTGTCTCCTTTAAACACATTATACTAAATGCTTTTGCTTCTTGGTGACAGCTCTGCAAGCCCTGGGTACACAGTGCTGCTGTGCTCTGGGAGCAGAATTATGTTGCTCAGCTGCAGCTGCAAGTTAGTGAGAGAAGGACAAAGCTTTGTCACAAGAGTGACAATTACTTGTGTTTTGTTATCTGTCTTTTCACTGAGATGGAAGAAAGCAGCTCCTCAGCTGGACTGGGGCGTTCCTTTCAAACACTTCCAGACTGTCACAGGCACTCATGGCCTGGATGGACAAGAGGGTCTGTGCTGCCCAGCAGTTCACAGGCTGAGCCCACTCTGTAAGCAGGGGAGGTACAAACACCAGCGCTGGTACTCTGCGGTGTGACTTATTTCATTCTTCACCTTCTCAGAGAGAAGTGTTAATTCCAAGCTATGTTTGCCTGCCTTCTTTGCTTTCTTAGAGTGCTAGCTGAATCATAGTGCCACGCAATGCAAGATAGAAGCAAAAGGCACCAAGTGCACTGGGGTTGGTCAGCTGCAGGTGTTTGGTGACTTTGTTCAGGCTGGGTGGTTGCTGGAGACCTGAGCCCTAAGCCTCCATCAGTAGAGTAGGAGAACATTCATAGAATCCTAGAATATCCCAGCTTGGCAAGATTGAGTCTACAGAAGGATGGCTCCAGTTCCAAACCCTATGTCTGAGGGTGTCCAAATGCTCCTTGAAGGCCAGCAGCTTGGGGCCATAATCAGTGCCCTAAGGTGACCTGCTCTATGCCCAGCCATCCTCTGGTGCAGAACATTGGCACCCAGCATGGTGCAGCTCCATGCCGTCCCCTTGGTACTGTCATTTTTCACCAGAGGGCAGAGATTCCTCCCCTGTGAGGAAGCTGTATGCTGCCATGAAGTGGCTGTGGGCCGCCATGAGGCCTCCCCTCACACTCCTTTTCTCCGGAGAGAACAGACAAGGAGACATCATCCACCACTCACACATCTTGCCCTCCAGACCCTTCACCATCTTCATAGCCCTCCTTTGGGTGCTTTCTACACAGAACTGTGCCAGGTCCTTGTGGCCTGAGGCACTGCCTAGAGGTGTTTCCCCTCTGCTGATGTTCCTTGGCACTCCTGTTTGATCTTGCCATTTGCACTAAAAGTAATGTTTCCCTGAATTTGGTAGCCTCTCATGCTTCTTTGTTAATCATTTATACGATCTGAGGTATTGTGTACTGTAATAAGCCGTTCACCTCCAAATTCTGATAGGGAGTCCCATAGGAAAAATGCCCTGCCAGAATTGGTCCAGAGACACTTAACTTTAGCACATGTTGAAGAACAACGCTAGCCTTTATTTCTGGTAAGCCTCTAAACAGAATCTTCTCACAACTCGGCAGCAGCAGTAATTCTGAAATGACTGAAAGTTTTCCTCTTGTTTGGTATGATGATGGAGGTCCAGCTGGTCTCTTCTTACTGTCACATATCTTGTGACCCTGGAGCTGGACCTGTGATGCCTTCATGGAAAGGGGGATCTCTTAGCACAAAAGGCTGTTAATTTGCCCTAAAACAGGTAAGAGGATTAAAAAATGTCAATTAATGTACTTCTTTCTGTTTGGTTTGTGTCATGCCAGCAGCGCTCCCACAGATCATGCTTTTCCCACAGCAGCAGCATCTTGGCTCCAGGCTGAGGCCGTGAGTGGCCTGCTGCCTGCAGTATGGCTACAGTGCAGTGGTTGGTCTTCTGGTAGGTAGGAAGGAAAGCAGTGCTTCCCATTGGATTTGCATCCTGTCTGTTCTCATGGATGCTCACACCCTCACCTCTCTGGCCCTTTTGTTCCCCTGTTCCTTGTCTATCACAATTCAAGCCAAATTGTAATGTCTGGAGGAGCTTATGTTCAAGGTTTGAAAGTCACTGGTAAGTTAAGAGGCACCAGAGCTGAGGAGCTGGAAGAACAAAGTGCATTGCACTGTGATAGGAGTTCACCGTTATCAAATACTAGCAAGAGCTTCCTGAGTTTTTGACGGTGTAATGTTGAGCTTTCGGATTTCAAGAAAGTGTAAAATGCCACAGACACTTTCTTTATGTTCTCCAGCCAGTTGTTATTGAAGTATTGACTAATCTGTGTGTTTTCCAGCTGGCAGGATTGGCTGTCATTGCCTTTGGTCTGTGGCTGCGGTTTGGTGGGGCTATGGCAGAGTTTGCTTCAGACAAAAGGTCTCCAGAGTATTTCTTCATAGGTAAGTTGTGATGACAGCAGCCAATAGCCTTGGCTTCATTCTTAGGGCATGGGAAATAGCTCAGTATTTGAATTATGCAAAGGCCAACAATACCTGAACCAAACTGCACAAAACCGGGTGTTCTGGTGCTGTGTCTTGTGAGTGATGGCCTTCACCCCCTCTCTCCTTGTTATCAGTTTCCTTAGGCCTAACTGAAAAGCCTTTCTCGATTCCCTTAGGTCTAACTGAACTCTTCTCTCAGACTTGATCCACTTCCCACATATCCTAAGTGAATTGTGCTTATACTGTTGCAGTAGTAATTGAGATGGGTCAGAGACTCCTGCAACACAGAGCTCACCAATATATCCTTCCATAGTTTTCTGTGCAGCTTCTAACCAGAAAAGCAACGGTGTCATTTCTGAATGCCTCTGGCACCAGCAGAGGAAAAAGAAAGGCTTCTGCTCACCAGTCCTCCCTGTGTCTGTAAGCAGAGGCCTTCAGTGTGATTTTAAGTATCAGAGCAAATCCTTCTACAGCTGAAAACTGCATGATGCTCGGTCATCTCAAGAGCTGTTCATCTAAGCGAGGCAGGAAGCAACAAGTTCCCCAAGTCCACACAATTGGTTTTGGTCACTTCTAATTTTAGGCATTTAACAATTGTTTTTTTTTCTCCCTAGTTATGTTTTTGGGAAACACCACTTGTGTGTTTCTATAGAAGTGTTTACAAGAGCAGCTGTCCACGATGGCCAGCAACTGCATTTCTTCATCCACTGGCAGTTGCAACTTGCCTTTACATTAGAAGGGAGAGGGGTTTTTTTTGTTTTAATGTTTCACCCCTTGAGTTAGACTGAGCCAATACAATCCAATTTGTACAGTTATTTTTGCCATCTGAAAATGCCAGGTGAATGAATACCTGTTCAGCCATCAGTCCATCCTGGCACAGTGTCCAGGAGCTGACTTGACCCAGCATGTCAAGTTACAGTCAGTTGCCCATCACGGGAATATTGACTGGACTGTGCAGTTACTTTAGATACACCCATTTTCTTAACAAAGACCACCACCCCGATACACCATAGTCTTAAGTCAAAGCTTTTTTGATATATGCATGGAACAAGGCCAGAACACAGAGCTGACTGTACAGCACTGAGGGAATAAATGGGTTGAGTGTTATGTCCAGCAAAGCTTTCGCTGGAGTTTGGGAGGCTGAATAAAACCATTCAGATGGAAATGTGACTGGGATCTGAGGGATGCTGCAAAGTGCTCTGTAGCATCTCCACTGACACAGAGAACCACGAAGTATCATTTACTTTTTCTCTTACATCTGTGTCAGCAGCACATTGAACCATTACCTTTATTTCCAGATCCAGTTTATATCTGCTGAATTTCCTGTGCCGTATCTTGAAACTCTCCCCTGCCTTACCCACTTATATTTGATCCTGGAGCTTCAACAAGACACAGGGAAGGTTCTGTCCTTCAAATTAACTACTGTTGGTTTGTTAGAAGCCAGAAAGTAAAAGCTGTAGAGAAAACAAGTCCTAGCTTTGCAGAGTAATGCTGTGTAAACAAGATTTTCTTTGGTGGCAATCTCTGACAGATTTAATCTGCTTCAGTCCTCAGTAAGAACTGCAAAAGCTATTGAGAATTGTTCATTTTAGGAAGTCCTGGGGAATGTTGCTGTAAAAGTCTAGTCGTGCTCTGTGACATTCAACTACTGGGCTGATTGTCACGTGTATTTGTAGAGCTGTATGCTGTAATGTGTAACAGCTAGCAGAGGAAGTGATAAGGAACAGGACATAAATATATTGAGAGTTCTTTTTAACCTGTACTTTTGGCTGAACTCTAGGGCAAGGTTTTGACCCTTTTTTGTAATAGACAGACTTGAGCAAGTCTGATAAAGAAAAAAAAATAATGATCTGCTTCCCACTCTCATAACAAATCATATTAAATGCTGTTATGACTTCTGAGCATCTGAGGGGTCAGCCAGTCAGAAATCTGAGCATGTTAACAGTCTGTGACTAAGGCAACGGTAAAAGAATGGTGATAAATTCAGTACCCGTGTTTTAGGCAGCAAGCATGGCTGCAATCAGTGGTCATGCTTGAGTGCTTTAGCACTCATTTTCAGCTCTAAGTCCCTCGAACGTTTGTGCATTCAACACATCTTATGGTGTTTCTAGGAGTACTGTTTATTTGGCTGTGTGCATTTGCTCAGTAACACGCAGTCTGGGCGACAGCCCGAACTCTGCATAGCAATTCTTAATATGGAATTCTGTGCAGTCCACAAGAAGCAGCTGCCCAGAGGGCTGAAGGAGAAAGCAGATTGTCAGCGTGACCTGGAGATATGAGCATACAGCTGTGTATCTAAGAACAATTTACTTAGCTCTACACTGATTGCTCTTGTGACAACTCACCCTCTGTGATCAGATCAGCTCCGTGTCAGTGCTTGGAACAACACTGCAGTTGCATTTAGATGTTTGTAGGCTGAAACACTGCCTGGAATCACCATCTTGTGGGCAACGTCTCCTTTTCTTGCTTTCAAAGAGCAGCATATTCTGTTGGCTTTTAATTATTTGTTCCTTTTTTGTGTGTATTTTTTGTTTTTTTTTTAAACCTGTTCTGAGCTGCCAGCTGAAGCTACCCAGCCTCTCTCTGTTTCCTGGTGATTTTTTTTTTTCCTGGATTGGAAATTTTGTTTTAGTTTAAAATAATTGGTAATTATATCCTTGCATTTTCCATTAGGATGGAAGAGTGTCCCTAAATAGCCCTGTTCTTTACCAGCAGTTCAACCCCTGGAATAGTTCAGGCCAGGACTTGGCACTCAGGCCTGCTCAACTTTTCCAGCCAATTCAGTGTTTGTGTTGGTTTGAGAGCAGCTAGCAGGCAGCAGTGTTGAGGTCAGGCACATATGTGGTGTTAGTTTCCCATTGCTTGTGGTTTTGTGTTCAGTGATCTGTATTCCCCACTGCAGGTTGCAGTTTTTTAAACTACAACATAAGGAAATGGAACTGGAACTCCTTCACCCACGCAGTCTCCATCTGCTCTGCAGGGTGCATCTTGCAGAGTAGAAGACAAGTTTTCACTTAGATATAAGGAGCAGCCTTCTAAAATTGGGCATCTTCTCCTTCCAGCTCCCCAGCTTTTGGAAATCCCATTGCAGTGATGAGGCATGACGATGTTTGCATGTTGTTCCATCCCACTGTGGTTTAAAAAAAAAAAAAAGATAATTTCAGCAAAGTCAGCAGCTGGATAATAACATCTGAGTTGTCTGTGACCCTGTGCTGACCAAATGGGGGAAAGATCTTTTGCTCCTTTAATTAGCTGTTTGTAATAGTGCTGTTCTTAAATTAAATCTACATATATATACACTTGAGCACAGATGTGAAGACAGAGTGCCAGCTGAGCACAAGTTCAGCATTTATGAATAGAGAACTAAGACACGGACTTTTAAAGTGTCAGTTCAAGACATTTGCTCTCTTTTCTTTGCATGAAAGTCTGTTTTGGCTCCGTGGGCAGCATGGAGGGCAAATTTAGTGTATCACTAACAAATGGAGTGCAGTGAAGGTCACCTCGGTGCCAGTAGCACTGAAAATGAAGCCTCATCAAGAACGGTAACAACTGATGAATGTGAATGCATCAACTTGGATGGCTCTCAGAACGGGCAGCACTGAATCATTGCTTCTCCAGCACAGACAGAGCTCACCAAATTTCTGCCATGTTATGGTCTTTGCTCCAGTTCTGTGCTTCAATCCAGAGCCAGGCCAGCTGTGAGTAGAAGTTTCAGGGTGGCTGTGGCTTTTTCGTGGGGTCCGAGAGAACATGAGTGATCATTCTGGCTTCGAACAGCACGGTTAGATGGTGCATGCCTTAGGATATGAAGTCATGTCTGGAGTTGAAGGATATTAGTATTTTTTCTCCATTGGAATGGGTGCCCATGCAAACAAGAGTTGGCTAGCAGTTAAATCAGTGTAAACTGCAATTTCTGTGCCTCATTCTCTTATATTCTATTCATGTATTTTGTAGTCAGGCACTGGACCCTTACTTAGCAGTATTTTCTCTCCAAAATTCATAGCCTCACAAGTTCTGTCAGTCTTAACAGGAGAGCTGTTGACAAAGGAGTCTCTGTGTAGAGATGCAGCACCACAAGTGGAGCGTTGAGTGGTCCTGCTATTTGCACTGAGCCTTGCAGAGGCTTTTAGTATGTACTTAGAATGTAAGCAGTGAGCTAATCTGCCTTTCTATCATCTTCTGTGCAAGTTTCTTCTGCAGTCGAAGGGTGGTTTGGCAAAAGCTGATAGTGGCCCTGAGTGGAAAATGGAAGCTGCTGCACTGGAAATCAGCTTATGATGATCATCAGTGCCCCTACCTCCAAGAAAAAGCACCCACTACCTGAACTCTGACAGTGTGATTTACACAGTACATGGGGTATCCCCTGGCCTACCTCAGTGAGTGATTACACAGTTGTGTTCTGTTCTGGTCACTCAGCCCATCAGAGGCAGCTGACAGCACAGTGGTCTGCAAGCCAGAGCTGCAGAGGTTTAACAGTTCAGCTTTTCTAGAAACAGCTCCAAAGCAAAGAAGGCAGTGATGTTCTTGTATGACTGAATAGCTGCTGAAGGCTGTGTGACACTGTGTACAGATGATTCTGTTTGTCATCTTTAGTGTATGTCAATTTATTAATCTTTAATCCTCAATCTAGCCATGTTAAAAGTCATAAATACAATGGTTACATGCAGAATTACGTAGCTACATTGCCAAGTGTTTTCATTTTATAGTCCATTAAATATTTTAATAGGTGTACATAGAGGTGCTGGGAGGCATCAAGCCAGCTTGTATCTATAATTCTTTTGTGGTTCCAGGAAGATTAACTGCATGATATCTGTCACATTCACACAAAATAGAGAATTATGTCTGTACGTTGTGCTCAAGTTAAGGATATGCTCCAATTCTCCAGAAATTCATCTTCCTTCAGAGGACTCTGCCTCTCTTCTCCATGTATTTTATAAATGTATCCAGAATATGTATTTACTACAGATCTGTTAACATAAAAATGATTATCTCTGTTAACACACCTGGTAACTCTGCCACTCAGTGAACCACTTGTCTGGTTTGTTATTTCCAACCTCTATGGGTGTTTCCCATCTTTTCCAATGCTGCATTTGCTCTATGGGTTCCTTGGTGTTCTACTGAGGACTTGAAAGCCTCTGTCCATCAGTGAGATATCTCCAGGACTGTAACTCACAGTGTCAGGAAAACCTATTCTGGTTGTGTCTGGGTTCTAGGACTCCTGTCATCACTGCCTCTGGATCACTTATGCCAAGAACAGAGCTGCTTGTTTTCTCAGCAGCGTATGAACAGTTGGCGTTTTGTTTGCTGTTAGTTACTCAGCCCAAAAAAAGAAAGAGTTGAACTATTTAAAATGGAAAGTGACCATAGCAGCCAGGTAAACAAGAAACCCATGCGAAATAAAGCCAGAGAGATGGTGTAGGATTGTCTGCTCCGGCTCTTTACGATAGGCTCCAGGCGTGGGTTTGTGCCCCAGAGCTGTCAGTAAGATTTTGAAGAAAACCAGCTCTGTGAATGGGCTCTGCTTCAGACTCTGAATTGAGTTCTTTACCAGTCCAGGAGGCTGGCAGAGTATTTCTGATGGTGGTGGATTTGTGTCTGAAATAAGAATGTTTTTAACATCAGTAGGTTCCTAATCTGCCTGGTTTGCATTATGTCTCCTTTCTGCTTCATAAAGCATGGCATTATATATATCTGCCTATCAGGCTGCACTGGGATATCCCCTTTGCAGTGGAAGCCAGCGGAGAAGTAACCTGGTCACCGATTTTTTTACAAGGTGGTCTTCAATATACCTGGTTTGAGGCAATCCCAGACAGGCTGGGCAATGGGTGGATAAAGTCCTGTGGAGGAGGACGTGGGGGACTGGTGGATAAAAGGCTCAACTTGAGCCACAGAGTGCGCTTGCAGCCCAGAAAAGCAACCATAACTTGATCTGCTTCAAAAGAAGTGCATCTTGCAGGTCAGAGGAGGTGATGGACCCCACCTGGGGCCTGCAGCATGAGGCCATAGCTCCATTGGAGTGGGAGCAGAGGGGGGCAATGAAGATGATCGGAGGAACGCAGCACCTCTCCTATGAAGTAAAGGCTCTAAAAGTTTGGGTTTTTAGCCTAGAGAAGGCTCCAGGGAGGCTTTATAGCGGCCTTCCTGTACTTAAAGGAAGTGTAAAGATGGGGAAAGACTCCATCAGGGAGTGCAGTGACAGGATAAGAGGCAATGGCTTTGCACCCCAAAAGGGTGGGCTTGGGTTAGATATTCAGAAGAAATTGTTCACACAGGGTGGTGAGGCCCAGCGAAGTTGTGGATGCTCTGTTTCTGTCAGTGTTCAAGGCCAGGTTGGATGGCCCTTAGAGCAACCTGGTGTAGAGGAAGGTATCCCTGGCCGTGGCAGGAGGTTGGAACGAGATGGTCTTTGAGGTCTTTGAGGTCCTTTCCAACCCAAACCGTTCTATACCTGTTATAAAAATGTCTTATTTCTGGGTGAAAGGTTGCGTGTGTGTATGATAATAGACACTTAAAAGCATCTTTAGTTCTACAGATATATATATATATTTACATGTCCTCAGTATTTCACCTAGAAGGAGCACTCTGAGTATCAGCACTTACTAATCCCAAGCTGAGCATGGACAAACTCCAGAATTAACTCTCCTGAATACAAGATGGAAGAAGGTGGATTTGAACTCCTGGCTAGCAGAACTGTGGGCCCAAGGGCAAACAGCAAATTCAGCTTTGTTTAGTGTGTGGTGTGAGAAGTTCTTCCTGTAGCATGCCTTAAAATGGAAGTTCTGACTGAGGTAGCGGTTTAGTTGTGAGTCATGCCTGTGAAATGCTAAGGCTGCTTGTCAGGAGAGAGCAAATCCAGGGTTTGGAAAGTGGTCTTACCCCTGGACCTCAGAGAACTTTGTCTTTGCTAGCTGGAAGCAGCAAAAAGGAGAGGGAAGGTTTCTCTCCTGTCTTGCTAATAAAAAAGTCTCTCCTAAGTTGCCTGATAAGTAATTACAGGGATTGAAGTAGGAAGTAATATGCAGAAAACTGCCCAGGAAACATCTTGGTAATTACACTGCGTTTGTTACCATGGAGATCTCAGAAAATGGCAGTTTGGGTGTTTGGCAGTTGAACAGCAGGTTCTGCACCTTGTATTGAAACTGATGGTTTTTTTGTGCTTCTTTGATGGAGGCTGACCTTTACTCCTGACCTGCAGGCACCTTTGTATATCTTTCCCTAAGTGAAAGCATTCACTGTGTCGTGAATATGTGTCCAAGCATTAGAATGCTCAGTCCTGGGAAGCCACAAGATGCTGAATATTACAAATCTAGAAAATACATAATATGAAGTGCCAGCACTTTCAGCAGCAAATCCCACTTATCCGCTGCCACAAATCTGGCAAAGCCATATTAATTATAATTGTTTTATCACTATTTAGAAGAATAGGGTTTTTTTCCTCAGCAGTAATCCCTGGCACAGGGCGTGAAGGACGGAGGAAGAAGAGGAGAATTGCAATACCTGGGACAGGTATCTGGCTAATACAGCTAATACAGTGACACACCAGTGAATGGACAGCAGGCAGGAGTCTGCTTTCTTCAGGCAGGCTACACCTGTGTGGCAGCATCCTCTCCACTTGTCTATCCTCATATTCTTTCTGTTACTTTATTTTCGTTTTCCTAGCAATCCATGCAAACTGTCAGTTGCAGGGCTTTGTAAAAGGCTCGGTCACACAAGGTCTGATAGTAAATGCCTGCAGCTCTGAACATGACGTCAGATCTTAGTATCTGTCAATTGGTCATTGAGAATGCTAAGTGCTGACATGAAAAGTTTGAGTAATCAGAGCTTAGAGGAGAGCTCACTGTGCCATCTAGTGTGCTCAGTGTGCAGCTCCAGTGTCTTTTCATTGCAGCTCAGGGAAAGAAATGAAGCTGCTTTTTCAGACAGTAGACTGGCATGGCAGATCTCTGTGTCCTCCATGTCGCCTACACAAGTCCAAGACTAGAATTACAAGACACTACGCAGAGCCTTTGGTACTTTGGCTGGCATGGCATCCAGAGATAAAGCTCACAGTTGTGGTGGTTCTGTAGAAACTGACACCACACACAAAGTATGTTCATGTTTGCCAGTAAGGAAAGAATTCTTTGCTCTGGTTTCTTTTTGTCCCAGATAAAGCCTGTATTAATAAATAAAGAAATAAACTGCTGGGTAGAAGTATTTTCAGCAGCTTTATAGATAGCAGAAATGAATGCAATTCCTGTTACCCCTGCAGTTTCTGTACTACCAAGTTCTGGGCATAGCTGGTATGCTAAGTCTGTTGTTCTAAGTAAGTATGGGGCTATAGTGCCATCTCCTATGTCCTGTACTTGTCTCAGGGTGGCCCTTTGTTGGCAGTCTCATCCACAGATTGCTTCATTATGCTCTTAATGCATTTAGTCTGATGCTCTACTGCTTGCTGTTTTCTTTACATCATTACATTTGTCCACGGGCAGATAACTACTTTGGCCCATAGCCTCAAGTCCATTCTGCAACACAGTCCCACAAAGAGGTTCCCTGAGGTGTCTGAGCATTTCCCAACACTAATTAACAACTGCAAAACATTAAGCTATGACTGTCCGGAACAAGAAAGCAATGCAGTGTTGCCACTGGCTGCTGCATGTGGGCAGCATGTATCGTGAGTTTAAGGCTGTGCATGCAAGGTTCCTGGTCTGAGCTGCTCTGGACAAAGGAAGCTTGGGAAGTGCAAGTCTTTTTGTTTATCTCTATGAGATTTTCCAAGAATTCTGAAGAAATCACTGGTTTTGTTTTGTGGTGAGAGCATCTTCTCTGGGTAGTAGATATTCTTTATGAAAGCCAGAGACCACTGTTACTTAAAAATATGTGTTTTTGGCAGAACAGGCATCGAACTTTGAGAAGAGGAAACCTTAAATTCTGATCTCGATTTTCCCTAGGTCTGTATGTATTGGTGGGAGCAGGGGCTCTCATGACCACAGTTGGATTCTTTGGGTGCTGTGGAGCAGCGCGGGAGTCTCAGTTCTTGCTTGGAGCAGTAAGTGAAAGTTTCAAGGGGCTGGAAGTGCTGTGAAATGATTCCAAAGATTCTTCTGTCATTAGTGGAGGGACCTTTGCTGTCCAAGATCTGAAATGTCCTCTGTCCTTTTACGGGTTAATCCATCATCTGTAGTTGCTGTGTTAATGCATGGCTTGCATACATTGCCTCCTATAACACATTTCCTGGAATTACCTTGTCATTCCTGAAACTACATCTGAGCCACACTGTGCCATTTCCAACTTTGTTTTCTTGGTACAAGAAGGCTGACTTGATGCCCTTATCACTGACACTGCTCATCAGCTTATTGTCATTCACTGTGTGAGCCCTTGAGGTCTAGACAAGGATAACAGATTGAGTGGCAGTACATTAAAGCACACTGTGCAGAATACACTAACATAAGGTTCTGTTCTCCCTCTGCAGTTCTTTGCTTGCTTGTTGGTGATATTTGCAGCTGAGATCACCGCTGGAGTGTTTGCATTTATAGGCAAGAAAGTGGTGAGTAGCAATCCACTTCTGAGCTAACAATGGGGCAGTTCTGGGTTCCTGTGGCTGATTGACCTACAGGCTGGCTCATATTCAGGAGAGCTTTCCTTTCTTCCTAACAAAGCTCTTTAACATTCTTATCTGCAGTAAATTAGAGCTTGTGTTATCACAAATCCAACTTCAGAATGGGATGCTGGTTTTGCCCCTCCTCCTCCTTCTCCTCAATAAAGACTGTCTGTGCTGTTGAAGGAACATCAAGTAGAACTCTACAGTAGGAGTGTATTTCCTGGGAGAAGGGCAAATGAATTCAAACACTGAATTTGTCCAGCTGAGAACTGTTTAGCCAAAACACAGAATGCAGCAGGCCACAAAGCCTCCTATCTTTCCTACCATGTCTACCTCAGTTTACCAGGAATTATTTTCTGCTCTGGAGGTTGATGACTCAAGCTGGAAATCTGCACTGGATTGAGAGTAAGACTTATTTGCCTCTCACTTGGTAAGTCTGATTTCTGCAGGCAATACAGGAAGCCCAGAAAATCTATGAAGACATCTATGAGGAATACATGAAAAATCCGGGGAAGGTGAACAGAACCATCTATCACTACCACTTGGCTGTGAGTAGTCATCCTGAGCTTAAACACCTTGCGTTACTACTCTACTGTCACACTAGCATTTAAAATTCAGAATGTCTCCCATGGGGGTAGGAAGGATAGAACTGAGTGCTGCTTAAAATGGACTCAGAGGCTCATGGCTCTGTTTCCGGATGGTTGTGTCACAATTTTGAGTTTTAGATCCCAACTGATTCCTATCTTTGAAAGTAAGAGTGGCCAGGTTTTTAAATTTGAAGGTAATGCTTCTGGTCTTTATTGTGCAGAAGGTATGTCTACTATGGACATTGTTTTGTTTTCAAATCAAGGCATAAATACACCAAAATGCAGAGAGAAATAGAAAGGTGAAAATCTGCGTTTTTTTTCTGAGGAAAAACTGCCCAGAGGAACTGCAGAGTTACCAATGGCAAGTGAAGTGACTGAACTGAGACTGAGCCAAGTAGAGAAAAAACAAAAAGAATAGAATGCATGACTCCATTCAGGCCACCCAAAGAGTCGGGGTCTGAATCAGAATTAGGACCTGTGACTTGGGAATGTCACTCGTGTCTGTCACCCTGTGTCTACAGTGCCTCCCATGGAGATCCAGCCCTCGCTTACAGCATTCTCACGTTCTTTACAATAAACATTTCACAACCTCAGACCTTTTTGTCCTTCCTTCGTGGCTGTTATTTCTAAGCTGAGCAGGAATTTCAAGCATTTTGTGGGAGAAAGGCCAACAGGAAAAGCACTGACTTGTTCGGGTCTGCAATCATAGCACTATAGTCTGTCAGAATTCTGATATTCTCTGTTGTAGCTTTGTTCATAAACTTGCATGTGATATTAGAACTTTCTGCATCTAAAAGTACCCATTTCCTTGGAGCCCAGAGTTCTGCTTTTCCAAAATCCACTTGTTTGTTTTGTTAATAAGATACTGATGGAAGGTTTTGTTAATACAGTTTGTCTGTTTGCTGTGAAATTGATTTTTGAGAACTTTGGCCCATGCAGTTGGAATTGTTATCAGAGGTAGCAATAGGCACAGTGAATAAATCTGTGACTTGATCAGTATTCTTTCTTTTTTTTCCAGTTATTTGTTGCTATCAGTTGACTCACAGTCTATGATTTTTCCTTCCTTTGACTCTCTCCCTCTCTCATTCAGCTCCAATGCTGCGGTAAAGATAATTTGGAACAACACGCAGGATTACCTTGTCCAGAGAAAATGCAGGTGCCAAAGGCAAGTGTCCTCTGTTCTGGTTGTTCTGATAACTTTTTCATGTCAATCACTGAATAAAACTGGAGTCAGTCTATATGTAAAAGGAAGGAGTGTCCTTTTCCCCTTATAAATCCCAGCATGGAATTTACCTGCTGTAGGGAACCTGCTTTGGCAGGGGGTTGGACTCGATGATCTCTGGAGGTCCCTTCCAACCCCTACAATTCTGTGATTCTGTGATTTCTGTATGAAGTTTAACAAAGCAGAAGCTGGGGCAACATGCCCAGCCCTAAATTCTAATGCCTGCTTGCAGCATCCCATGTTATCTGTGACAGTATTACACAGCCTGGGAATCAAGGTGGGAAGGATGTAGCAGAAGAGGAGTTGTAGAATCATAGGATGGCTTGGGTGGAAGGGGCCCAAAGGATCAGCAAGTTGCAACCTCCCACCACGGGCAGGGCCACCAACCTCTGCATCTGGCACTACCCAGGTTGCCCAGGGCTCCATCCAACCTGGCCTTGAGTCCTAAATGAAAGGCCACTTGAAAGCTGAGTTCTGTCAGCAGTCTGTCTGAGTGACGCATAGAGACTCCTGCATGGATGCTCTGTTGTTATTAAGGATACTTTGATTTCTGCTTTGGGGGGAATTTGCTTATGAGTACTGTATCAGTCTGAGGGGAAAGGCTCCATATTTTATCATGGCCTATTGCAGAAAGGGTCTTAAATGGAGGAAAAACTGATTGTGAGAAGATTAATTGTGTATGTCAGCATGTACAGGCAGTAGGTAAATAGCAGCACATGCAAGCACCACTGCCTCACTGGGAAAGGCAATATGCTGTCCAAATGGTCCAACAAAACACAGATCACAGGTGCAAGAATTAGGGCAGTGAGTGCAATAATCCCTTTTGTGTTCATCTGCTGTTCAGTGAGAAGAGTTGGCAGAGTTGTGCAGTGTGTTTTTCTAGGGGTGAAAATCTTTCTGTTTTGTTTTGAGTAGAACTGCCTGGTTGAAATCCACAACGTAATCGATGCCAATCTGCATCTAGTTGGGATTGTTGGAATTGCAATTGCTGGCACCACAGTAAGTAAATCCACACGATCACCCTTTTTATTGGTATTTGGGCCCAACACCCCATCCTTTACCCATAGCTCTGTTTTGCAGCAATTGGTGAGATTTCTCAGAAGTGAAACTATTCTTATTGCTCTCAGTGTTTCCTCTCTCTGGGAATTGGTCACAACTGCACAAATGGCCTCAGATGACTTTGTTTTACCAATTCATTTTGTGTCCCTACACAAGGTTCAAAGAATCCACTGGTAATCTCATTTTGTTGTAATAGTAGGAAAGTGGTGTACACGTGGAGTGGACGCAAAACCAAAAAGCCACGGTGGCATTTGAGCTGTTCCAAACCAATTGCAGACATGGATGTGTTAGAGCCTTAGAGGATCTATTATTTAAATTTCACATATGGAATAGAAAGTATCAATCCTTTCTACAGAAAACACCTTCTCAGGAAAATGCTGTCTGTAGCATTAGTTCAACGTGAAGGATCAAGTCACAGTTCATGACATCAGTGCAGTTTCTGTTAATAACATTTGGGGACTGTAAGGCTGGCCTTTGCATTTAGAATAAGGAACAGTGAAACCAGTGTGGGAACAAAATCTTTGCTTTGAGTATCAGTGAAAACTCTCTTCTGTTAATTGTCCGACGTCTTGAGGTTTGTAATGCAAGCAGTCACTTGCTACCCTGAAATAAAAGCATTCAATGCTGTTCAATGCAGTCTATTTTACAATTGTTTTGTGAGTGGATCCCTAAACTGCATTCCTTCTCTTCTAGATCTTTGGCATGATATGCAGCATGGTTCTCTGCTGTGCTATCCGTAACACGAGAGATATGATCTAAAACTGTCACTGCACAACTGTGTCCAGAAGCTTTACAAGAAGTGCTCTTCTACCCAGCTTAATAACTGTAATGTATTTTAATTAGTGTTTTAACATACTGAGAGGAAAATATCCCACGAGGTGTGGAGGTGAATTGTATTAGTGGCAGTAAAACTGAAATGAACAAAAAAAAGGGTTTTAAAATGTCCTTTTTAATGGAAAGAGCCGAGATGGCATCAAAGACTAATTTGATTTTTAATGTTTGTGTATGTGCAATTTAGAGCTTACATATCTATAGGCACTGTGTAAGTACATGCATTTCTCTCATTACAGATATGTATGCACATTATCTGTGCATGTAGTACCTTATGTAGGTAAGTATGTGCAAATGGGATGTGTTGTGTGTCCACATTTGCATGCACATTTTTCCAGTCTCACCATGCAGGAGTTGTGCACACACCCAGAGGTTGCTTGAAACACTTTCATTCCGACCCCCCTTTGCCAAGAGCTGGTGGAGGAACAAATGCCATTTTAAAAACGACCCAGCATCCATTTTGTAACTGTTCCGTCCAGCCCCCAAAGAGGAAGTCTGTTTTGTTTTAAACGGCTTTTGTTGTTACAAAAGGGTCTCCTCCAGCACACTCCTTCCTGGAGATCTTCCAAAGCCCCTGGATGTGGTCCTGGGCGCTCTGCCCTTCACGGCTCTGCTGCAGCACAGCGCCTGGATCGGAGGGACGCAGAGATCCCTTCCAATTTCAACCACTCTGTGATTCTGTGACTTCACTGGTGTGCACAGACCTGAGTTTTGTTTTTGTTTAAGTCCAGTCGTGTTTTCATGCAAGTACAGAAAGCTCTGTGGGAGGAAACAGTCCAAGGAGATCTGGCCTAAACAAAGAGGGGAGGAGGTAGGAAGCTGGCAAGATGCAGTCATTTGGGAGCGATTGTAACACACAGTGTGGTTAAACTTCTCATACTAGCCTGAGACCAAAACCAAACCACCAAAACCTCTATGTGTTAAAGGGGCCACTAAAATCTTAGTTCAGAAGTCCCTTTATGCTGTAAGACTGAGATCTATAATGCTGGCGCAGGAGTAGAACCTATAGTAAGAAAAGCAGCAGCTTTGTCAGATACCCTGTAGAGCCTGGTGTGTAGAATCCAGTGGAGGAGAAAAAATGGTCAGGGAAAAACACACAGCACTTTAATATCCTCTGGTTTTGCTTCTGTGACTATCACAGCTTCCTGAGGGCTCCTACCTCAGCCTCCCACCCCTTCCTGCAGGCGTAAGGCAGAAAAGAAAGATGGGGCTTCTTTTCTAAAAAAGAAAAAGAAAGAAAAAAACAGAAGAGCAGAGCCACAAAGTAAATTTTCTTACTGGGATTTGTAGATTGCATATAAAACAAATACTGTTCTTGAAATACCTCAGGGCTTGCCTTTGCGTTATTTGTTTCTATATTGTTATTTTTATATTCTTCATACTTATTTATGAGAGTGTTCCTTCTAAAGCAGCCTAGAAGGGAGAGAGTTTGTTCCCAGAAAGAGCAAATAAATTACAGCAAGGGCTCAGAATCTCTGAAATTTTTGCTTAGTCCAGTTAATTTAGCATTTCAAAGAATAACTTTCTGCTAGCAATGCCCCTTTAATTATTACCAGCTCAGAGTTCTTATGCAGTTGTTCTTTTTTAAGAGAATAGATCTAACAGAGTTCAGTTAAATGTCTCAGTGAATGGTCCGTGATGCCTAATGTGACTTGGCATTTACAAGTCAATTATCTCACTAAAACATGATGGCACTTCAGGTAGTGCCTGCAGTCCAGTGCACGTGTTTGTGTCACATACATCCCTCCTGATGTTTTTCTCTCATTTCCAACAGAAACTCCAATTTCTATCAATTTTCTGTTATTTCAGTATTGGAAATGGTGCTGCTGTTCCATGTTTCCCACTTAATTGACTCATCTTGCTGTCTTTTACATGGATGTCACTTTCCAAATTGTTCACCCACAGGCTGTCACTATGCAGTGACATTGATACAGCTGTGCACTTGTAGGGGAACCCTTGGGTCGGGGCTTGAGCTGGTGACTGAGCACCTGGTGAAGGGGTGCTGTTGGCCTAAGGAGCACACTGTTTGCACCTGTGCTCTCCCATGTGCCCAGAAGGGCTGCACCCAATGCAGAGCCACCCTGGGCTCATTTCAGGGGCAGCCACTGAAGGGAGAGCATCCTTGGACCTAGGCTGCTTCCTGAGGAGTGCTGCATGGCCAGAGAGCCCCTTCACCAGCTGGGTGAGTTCAGTGCTTCTTTCTGTATAATACGGCATTGGCCTACTGTGAATGCTTTGTGTGGTGTCACCAAGAGCCTATCAGCAGCTATTTTGCATAAAATAGCATTAAAAATTGCACTAAACATGAACTGTGATAACAGCTGCATGCTCAGCAACAGGTGAGCAGTTTCCAGGCTGAACTCCAGGTCCCCATTTGCAGAGAGGTATTGCATCACAGACCAGTGAGCTCTGCTCTTGTTTCAGTGCTTAATGGTGCAGGACCTCTGTTCCTTACTGGCAGTACAGAGACATTTCTAAGTAACTGCATTGTGTATCCACAGTAAGAAAGCTTTTCAGAGATAACTAAATCCAAATCAGTACCGGAGCTTCCTCAGGTACACTTCAAAGCTGCATGTCAGGATTTAATTAACCAACTTCTGCTCCAGATTGGTACTGACTGCCTCAGAAGTCAGCAGAAGTGCCCATCTAGTCAGGAAAGTGGCAACAGACCAAATCCTTCTGGGGATAACTCTGAAAGCACGGCGCATCTTCTTCCTATTCAGTCAACCATCTTGTTCTCAACTATAAACGTGTAAATAGTTGATTCTTGTTTCTTTGAAGATCATTATTTGTCATTCCCTTGTCTGGTTTTCCTGAGTAACAGCCTCCAGTGGGAGCTTCACATACTGCAAACTAACTGCAGCCTATCTTGCAGAGACTGAGCAGGAGCTGATGAAGCACAGCCTACAGTGAGGATTCGTATTTCACTGTTATACCAAAAGTGATAGCTTTATAGCAAGACATATTTCATGTGTATTGAGAAGGAAGTCGGGTTATCTTAAGCCTCCAAATACTCTTACAGCCTTCAGAGGCTGATCAACAGCATCAGGTGCTGTTCGTAGGGCACCCACATAACGGAGCTCACCAATCTCACTTCTCTGGTCACTGTTGGTTCTCCACAACACAAACTGCTTCCAAGGTGACGTATTTTTCTACAGCACAAATTGTGATTTGGGGCAGAACTGGGATCTTTGTCTTTGCACTGTCTGTAGCAGCATTATCTCTGTCACAGCTCTCTGTGGGAAACGAAAAGGAAATGGAGCAATGCTTATTCTGTTGCTGAAGGCAGCTTTTGCTTTCCGTTGGTTTAATGTGTACTAAAGTGGAAATGTGTTGGTTTTATTGTCTTGAATTTGAAACAATGTTCTAATAAAAATAACCAGCAATACAAGACTCTCAGAGGCTGTCCTGGTGCCCTCCTGTGTGCTTCCATGCTCTGCTGTGACTTCCTGGTCAGATCCTTGCCTCTTCTCAACATTGTAGGGCTGTCTGCATTTCTATTGCTTGGTTATGTGGAAAGGAGCCATAGGGTGCAGCACAGTCACCCAAACACCTGACCTGAAGGAATTCTTGCCTGGAGGAAGGGTTGTTGTGAACCCGAGGGTCTTCAACTTGAAAACATGCTGCTGAAAGGCCAAAAGGGGAAAAAGTGCTTTGAGAACACATGAAGAGGTGTTTAAAATGGTGCAGTAAGACTCACTCAAATGCCTTAATTTTGTTGGGATTTTTCTTTTTAGTGTGAAAGGAATCATCCAACCCAAACCATTCTGTGAGTCTAGCTGTTTTTCTCTCTGTGCATTCCCATAGGCTTTAACCATACAACTAGGTTAACTTTTTTCGCATGCGTGCTTTTAGACTGAAGGCACGTCCCTCAGATGCAGCCATGAGAGATCATAGCAATAACTTTGCTGTGTCACTTATTGCTGTAAGGAGGTACAGTTCCTTGTTTTTCTTCCTGCTAAGTGTTACCGAACAGCAGAGCCAGCTCAGAAAACTTGTTCAGAACTTGATGGTCCAAAGCTCTCTTTCCCCATGTTTCTAATAGTTGTTCTGGGGTTTGGGAGGTATCAGGCATTCTCACTCCCAAGGAGTGTTTTGTGACTTGCTGCCTGTCCTCTCTTGGTCCAGCAGTTGCCTTGTATGTACCTGGGCAGGTGTGGGCATCTGCTTTGTTGTGTTTGCATGCTGTGCTCCTACACTTGGGCCATACTGATTTTTCTGGCTGCTTATCTCGTTATCTCTGGCTGCTGTAACTGCCAACCCCTGCAATGAACTTTTCGTAGTAGTTCTCTGCTTATCTCTGCATTAACTCTGGGTTGGTACCATATGCTGCTCTTGGGAAGGCCGACACGTGGTTTTAAGAACTGATTGGCACTTACCATACCAACACAACAAAGCCTTTCCTAGGAATAGTTACTATTTATTCCTAAGAATAAATACTGTATGCAGGAATGCAGATGATTTTAAAAGGGCGAGACATGTATAGCAGATCTATGCAACTTGCCCCCTCCTGCAAACAAAACTGAAACTTTCAGTTAATTCTAAGAAAAACAAAACTATAATAATATGTAATTTAATTGTGTTGTTTTGTAGGGCTTTTTTTTTTTTAACCCTCTTCTAGTGTTGCTGGAAGCAAAAATAAACAGGAAAAAATGAATAAGATCTGTGCTGAGTGCACAGTGCTCTGAGGGTTATCAGCAGGTTAATTCTCAATGGGCACAATGGCAATTGCTGAGTATGGATGAGGATTCAAGCTGAGCATAACAAGTTTGTTTCCACCTTTCTGGCTGTAGGGATGTTCTGGATTTGTTACTTGCCAAAATAAAGCGAGTGTTTACCTGAATAGCTGAGAGAGCATACGTGTGTCTGCAGATGTAGGTGATATCAACAGAGAAATCTGTACCACTTAATGCTCCTTTTAGAAGAGAAAAATCTTTTTCATAATTACACATTTGCAATCGCTGAATAATTAAGAGAGCTCTACTGAGATAACCCCCTCTACAAGCCAAAACAAACGGTTGGGAAGCAGCAATAAAATAAAGCTTTCAACAGTGATTTAACATATTATAATGTTGTATTTAATGGGGCTTGGAAGCTCTCACTGCTGCACGGAGCTGCAATTCTGAAGTCATTCTTATAATTCCTTGCTGATAAAAAATATTCTTACCACGTCGTTTGTGTATACAGTAGATTTGTTCTCTTGGCTGCTTCTGCAAAGACGTGCTGAATGGTGACCTTGTTCCTCACTCATGGAAGCATGGAAGGTTTTACTTATTTTCTGCTGGCTGTATTCATGTCTTCACTGCAGCCCTGCTGACCTACCGACTGCTCTTGGATCAGCAGATGTCACACTTGCTTGAGCAGATGCGGGTCAAACTGTTTTCACCAGTCCTGTTGTAGGTGATAGGAATGAGGGGAAAAGCTGCAACTGCCAATGGATTCTGTACGTTTGCATTACAGTCAGTTGAAGCAGGTGGAAACTGGCTCTTGTGCTCAGTGCTTGGTGTAGTGTGACCATAGCTTGCCACTGAGTCACCAGCTCTAAAGAAGAGGAAACATTTATTGTGTTACGTTTATTTTCATATTCCTGTGTGTGTTCAGCACGTGTGATGGGACTCAGCCCCCCCAGCACGCTGCAGGGGCTGGCTGACCTGTGTGGGGAAAGAGAGCTGCTTTCTGAGCTTCACTGACCGCTGCTCTTCCAGAGAACAGAGTAGCAAGGCTTTTCAGTCAGCACAGCTAAGAGGAGCTTACTCTGCTCGAGCAAAGAGGTGAATAGCTATGCCTGGTGATGCTGATGAACACAGCACTGGGCGATGCTAGGGATGAAGTAGAACTGTATGCAGCTGCACATGCTTAGTCCTAGCTGCTGCACAGTGCAGACAGGGTCCTCAAAACATCCAGTGTTACATACGTGTAGAAAAGTAGTTGCTGCTATAAGGGCTGCAGGGCTGTGTCAATCTAGTTGAAATGTTTAACACCAAGAGCACGCAGAGTCTAGTTCTAAGCTATAATATATCAATAATTTTGTTCAAGCAGTACCTGGAGATCATGAGCAAAGGCCCATGCATACACAGTTCTTTCTTCTTCCCTAAGGTAAATTATGGTTGAGCACTAAATAAGAACCTTCAGTCCCATGGTTCTGCTTCTGCGTGTCAGAACATCCAGTTCATTACAGTAACTCTTCAGAATAAAACGTTGTGCACACCAGTTTGCAAACCTGTTACGAAATATTGTTTTATTTATCTTGGTTCTGAGCAGAGAGGTACATTTCTGCTATGTTCTGTTGGAAGCTCACATGTTACAGAGCTTCTGTGGCTTAGTGCAGTAGTTTGTCCTAACCTTCTCGTGAACACAGTCACTGTAGTCAGTGTTACATTTACCACACTTGCAGCTTATGGCCACGGGGTAAGAATAGTAAGGGATGGTGTGATGAGGACAGCCCGGAATCAGTGCTGTTTGATACAACATCTCTTTATATGTGCACACGTTTTGGGACAGAGCACTTTTGAGTAGCAGCTTCTTGCCATTGCTGTCCTACAAAGAAAAGAGAAATGTGTTGTTTCACTGAAGCGTACACGAATGTCAAACGTCTTCCCTTGACATGCTCTCAAATGTGCAGAAAGCAAAGCCTCTTTGTGCTTACACTAGCTCTGAAATTTTGTGTGCTTCAGATCTGTTTCTTTGAATCCCCATATGAAGGGAGCTCTCTACCTGCAGTAATGCTCACTGTGTTTTTCTGGTTTTAAATAACCCCCTGCCCGTCTCTAAGTGCTCTCAGCATTTTGCATTACATATTCACAGCCTGCTGACCAGGGTGGAAGTTAAAATGCAGTGTTGAATAGCAAAGCTCATAGTGCTTGGCTGTGCAGTGCTCTCCACAGCTGGCTGTCACAGCAGGGCTTCATTGCCTTTAGCACCTGACAGATTGGCTCAATTACTCAAGTAATTTACATTAGCTGAGGGTGGCAAATTGTAATTCATTTGTCACCTGAGCCGCCCTGACCCCACAAACTGCAGAAGCTCTGCAGCAACAGCAGCAAAAAGTTTGTTGTTATGCTACTGGTACAACCTCCATAGTAAAAGTAATATTGATGGGGGAAGAACAGGGAAAACAAACAACTATCAGCAATTGAATTGGGGAAAATGTAGGAA